GCCAGATAAGCGGGGAGAAACACTTCTTTTGTGAGCTCCGTGTCCTTTCTGTAACGTGCTGTGCTCTCATCATGTCTCAATTTGCCTCTTTTGTTGGGTATTTAAAGTGAGTTGGATAAATGCATTTCTGTTTTTGCACACTGTACCTGATTGCATTTATTGTATGAAGGCGGCTGCTGAGTGTTTGAATGTCGCGTACCGAATCTAATGTGTATTTCTTGAAAGAAAAAAACCCCACCCAGCGTTTCAGAACATGTATCCCGTGAGCAAATCTGAAAGAGCAGCAGCAAGCGTCCCTCCGAACGCCCGAGGTTGCTCATGTCTGCCGGGTTGAATGACTTGCCTGCTTTCTCCCCTTGATGATTGTGTTTAATTCTGTGCTTTCCGTTTAACAGAAGGACAAGCGAGACGCTTCCAACTTCGACAAAGAGTTCACCAGGCAGCCTGTTGAACTCACCCCTACGGACAAACTCTTCATCATGAACTTGGACCAGAACGAGTTTGCTGGATTCTCCTATACTAACCCAGAGTTTGTCATTAATGTTTAGCCGCGCTGCAGACTTCCCGCTCCGGCTCTGCAGGCCAAACCGTCCGATCACCTTGTCCATACGACACCAGTCTTCCGGGGTTAACAGTGCATCCATGCATATCCTCATCCAAACCGTGGAGATAGCTTGTTTTAGGAGGCCTTTCTATGTACGTGTCACTTGCTAGCTTGGTTTCTACATCTGGAAATGTTTCGTTTTTGAGTGAACAAGCAGTAATACCTGTAGAAACTGCGATCCATAGTTACTGCTTTTTAAACCGGTCAGAATATTGTCTCAAATACCAAATTGCTACAGTCTTTGTAATTTTTGAAATGGGATGCTGAAATGCTGGTCAACTTCTCGTTATTCACAATTTGTTTCCTTTGAATGCTAAGCATGGTTGGTATTTTAAACCGTTGTGCTGAAGCTTGCCATGACTGTGAACTTGTCCTAGAAGAGCCTTTTGTGCAAGAATTGAAATGGTTAAACCTGATCAATGTGGAGAAATCTGCTTATAGACATGTTTACATTTTTAACTGCGTTGTATCTCCAGTAAAACTGGCTCGATGAAGCGGTCTTCCTCTTTCGCCTACTGTCGACGTGTGCATTTCCATCCATTTTTCTTTCCTATATTAATTACTCAGGCATGAGACTACAAAATGAATTTCATTCCAGTCCTTGTAAATCAGAGCAAGTCTTTTTTTTTTTTTTTTTCCTAAGTAAAAAGGTGAGATTTTTTTATTTTATTTTAAAAACATCTGGAACAGTTTGCAGTTTTGATACACTATGTCAGCACTCATAAATCTTTCTCCTGTTTTGTCTCAGACACTGTTGAAAGTTAACAGCTCTGTAAAGCATATCCATGATCTGCCAAAACACGCACATTTGTAGGCTCAGTTTAGTTAGTGACTGAATATACGCTCGCTAGGAGAGGGCAGTACTGAGGGCTATTTCTAAAGGTAACTTTTGTACTATCCCCCCTCTGCTATATAATCTAGACAATCAATATAAGTGATTCTCCACGTGCCCTGGCTTGCTTCATTTTGCTCTAGCGTCCTGTTTCCAGGGATTTTATTTAGCAATCGAGGACCATTTGAAAAAAGAACGACGCCAAGCGCAATTTTTAATAAAGTTTCAATCGGGGCATAGCGGAGGTGCCACGTGGAAGAGGCCAGTCAGGCGAGGGCCACGGTTTGTCTTTCAGCTGGCTAAACATCCTTACTTGTTCCCCGTCTTATGTAGACACAACACAAGTGTGGTGAGCGTGTCGTACGTTTGGAGTCACCGGTTGCTATTCCTCTTTTTGGGTAATAGTGGGGCTGGTTTCCAAAGGTTTGGGGTTTGAGGGGTTTTTTAAGCGCTACCCATTTGAATGTAAATACACATTAAGCCTTGACTGCGGGGAGAAGTGAGGGTGAGTATAGAGGAAATACCAGCTTGCAGGGCTTTTATAAAACATCAGACTTTACCTTTGGGGATCTATTTTTAATGATTTATTAATGGGGGGGAAGCTGCTAAAAGCTTTAGGAGCTAACGTCTTTAGCTCAGCGGTAGGCCTAATGCCATGAGGAGTGTGCAGGCAGCCACAGATACTCTGCTCCATTTAAACGGGCCCCTCAACTTCATGGAGGGCATCCCAGTGGGGTTTGCAGCAAAGGGGATGGGTGGTCTCCACGGGCACTCGGTGACCTGCGCTGAGGAAGCAAAGAAAATGAAATGCCAACAAA